CACCATCAAGGACAAATGAGCACTAGGATGTGTGTTTCAGTGGAGTTTTATTATTTATGCTCCTTCAATGCATATTCCCAATGTTGGATCTATCTAGCTTATGTTTCCCTTTTAATTAATAGTACTTTGCATCTGGCTCAGTCATGTAGAGTGAGATCTTTAACTTTTACTGAACTTTCAGAAGTGTGGTGTGTGTATAACATTTTGTTTCTCCTTGCGATTCTCTTTTTTCATTCCAGTATGTCCACAGGCTTCTTGCTACATGTTTCTTATTTTGATTAGCTGCAAAAATAGGGGCCATATGCTCCTTCTCCCTCCCTTTTTTAAAAATAATCAGAGATAAGCAAATGTTAAAAACCATAATTTAGTGTCATGAACTAAGAGATGGAAAAAGCCTGAATAACTCATCAACTTGCTCTTGCTGCCAGTTTGAAAAAACATCACCATTGGAATTCTGAATGCAAGTCCAGGTTCACCAGACCATCAACTGCAAAGAATGTGTTATGGAGTGGTTAGAAAAGTGGTGTTGAGCCAGCCACCAACAATAAAAGTCAACATGGGTTCACAACAGGAAAAACATATTTAACTCATTTTATATCTTTCTATGATAAGTTTTAGTGGGTGAAGAGAAGGCAGTGGATGTAGTTTTCCCAACTTTAATAAGTTTTTTGGTCCCTTACAGCATCCTTCTGTGATGTGTTACCCAGCTGTGGGATGAGCAGGATCACAGTGCATGGATGAAGAGCTGTTTGAGGGGCAAGGCTGGCAGAGTTGTAGAGCATGGGGCTGCACCTGTGTGGCACTGGGTCTCCAGCAGTGGCAGTGCTCCTCAGGGTTCCACTCAGCCAGTTCTGCCCAGAACGCCAGGGAGCAACCTGGGAGCAGGAGGTGAATGCACCATTAGCATCTTTGCTCATGAGACTGAACTGGGAGCTGCCCTTGGCTGTCTCAAGGGACAAGATGCCTTGCAGAAGGATCTAGGTAGGTTGACATACCGGGCTATCTACGATAAATGGGATGAAATTTAACAAGTCAAAGTGCCGGATCCTGCACCTAGGATGGAGTAACACCACACACAACTATAAACTGGGAGAGGAGAGGCTGAAGAGCAGCCCTGTGAGGAAATATGAGGGTGCTGGTCAGCACCAGCAGCTTAGTGAGAGTCAGCAGTGCATTCTGTGGCAGCACAGAGCCCAGATCCCCACTGGGGAGCATCACACAGAGCATCACCAGCTGCCAAGAGACGTGATTATCCCCATTTATTCAGTGCAGGTGCAGCCTCAGCCCAAGCACTGAAGAAGGTTGTAAAGGTCCTTGAATGTTCCCAGAGGAGGATAATAAAGCTGATAATGAGGCTGGAAGGGATGTCCAGTGAGGAGCAGTTGAGGACTTTGGGTTTGTGTGGTTTGGAGAAAAGAAGTCTGAGTGGTGATTTCATTGCTCTCTACAGCTCCCTGCAGAGGGAAGGGAGAGGGAGGTGCCTGGGATTCAGTGACAGGACTCCTGGCAATGGATCAGAGCTGCACAAGGAGAGGTTCAGATGGCATTAGGAAGCATTTCTTTACTGAGAGGGTGGTCAAACACTGGAACAGGCTTCCTGCTGAAGTGCTTGAATCCCAAAGCCTGTCAGCATTTAAGAGACATTGGGACTGTGCTCTTAATAACCTGCTTTAAAACTTTGGTCAGCCCTAATGTAGTCAGGCAGTGGCACTGCATGATTGCTGTAGGTCCCTCAAACTGAAATAGCCTGTTCTATTCTATTGTTACCACACTACAATTTTAAGACAGATCATTCATGATGATTTTTAACTGCAGCTAACTGCAGACAATGAGCCACAAAGTTACCTTAGTTACATGTTTCCACCAAGACCATATTTTAAACCAGAATGATATTAATTGAGCTGCACTGTGGCAGCATAGCCATGTGTCTTGCTCGAGATTTATCCTTCCTCTTTTGATTGTCTGTTCCTTCCCCACAGCACTTGTACAAAATGTAGAAGTCATACCAGGAAAATCCTGACTTACAGGGCAAAGCCATGTCATGAGCAATGAAGAACAACTTGTTTCATAAAGAAAGATTACATGTCTGGATGCTATAGCAGAGCTGACATTGGCTATAAAAAGCTAATATGGTATTCCTTATCACGGAGAATTTCTTCCTAGCATATCACAGGTCAGACTGGAAATGCCTGAGGTAGGAAAGGTAGAAACAATAGAACAAGAAAAAGTGTCATATAAAACCTCAATTTAAGCAGCATTTTGTCTCCTTTTACTTCACCAATAATGTGGGATGTTTCCAGTTGCAATGTTTACTTTGATGGATGCAGAAATCAGAGCACTTTGGAGATCACAAATAACTTTTCTTTGTTTGTCTTTCTGTAATTTGTCTGAAGAATAATTTTAGTTGTTTGATAGTGGGGTATTCCTCAGAGAATGGCCTAGTGATTATATAGAAATGAGCACTGCCGAGTCCTTCTTTCTGAAATTCAGCAAGCTTTTCCCAGCAGAAGCTGTGCTTGCCCAGTGGGGAGCTTGTGTCACAGATGTCCTTGAGGTAGAATACCCATCCCTGGGATCACCAAGATCTCCCTCCCTGCTCAAAAAGCCTATTTCCCAAAAGGCTGTTTGCATAAACTGTCCTTCAGTAAATTGAGTTTTAAATTGAGCTGTGCTGTATCGCTGGAAGAAAATATGGCAGTCATCAATGTTCAGTTAAAAAATACTGAACACTGAATAATGGATAGGGAATTTCAAAATTTTGTTGGAAGATAACTTGAGACTGTCACATGCAGACTGAACAGCATGTATTAAAAACGAATATTAGTTTACTATATAGAATTTCCTCTAGTCTGTAGCCTTCTCCTTTTGTTTCAGATTTTGCTGACTGATATGTTTTGCTATAAAGAACTTTCTTTTTTATATTGGTTCTGAACATGGGCTCACTCCCAAACTAATTTTCAAATTCCATTGAAGACTCTTAGCAGCAAGTGTTGGTGAAATCATTTTTATTATATTCATTTTACTGATTTTTAGAGGAAAACTATATCTATACTGGTGATATGAATGTTCATTAACTAGCTGGAATGAATTAAACTACTTTGAAAGACTGCTAAATTAAATGCATTCAAGTAAAAGGAAGCATTACTCACAGGCTCCAAGCATCTGCCTCATATGAAATAGGCTTCCAACACTGGAAGCAGTAGAGCCTTGTTTCTCTTGAAAAGAAATGATCTTAAGCCTTTACACTCAAGAAGTTAAATCAATGTACTGGACTGGCTACAGTTAAAAATAATTGACAGCCTATAGGACAAACAAATGAGATAATGCTAAACAAATAGGGACAGCCTAATTACTTTACATACATTACTGAAATGTATGCAGCAGTGTGAAGGGGTTATTTTCATGGATTTGGAAAGGGCAGATTTGTTTAGGGCAGTGAATGACAAAGATCTATGACAACAGTGAAGGAACAACAAAATGTAGTGCACATATTTTCCTCATTTTTAGAAAAAATATTGCTTTATTCTATTTAGGAATAAATAAGAAAATACTTGCCTCTTTAAAAAATGTACTGAGTTGTAACATGTATATAAACAAAAATAAAGTAAAAATTGCAGAAAAGCTACAAATATTAAATACCAAAATACTCTACAGAGCAATTCCACATGTTTTCTCAAATATATATTAAAAAATGGGGCATAATAAAAATACAGAGGAACATCTTTAATTAAGAAGATCTTTTTACTGGCAAGCTAAAGACCTGTCTTCTTTCTGGGCACAGAGCTGTCACTGCAGTACATTCTGAGGAGTAGTACATCACAGACTCTTAATCAAAGATCCTTGTTCTGCATCTAGATTTTTTTTCCTAGTGTACAAGCTTTGTCATACAGCATCAATTTTGCACTTATTTTTCTTTAGCTATTGTCTGAAAATCAGTTTTTGTTTCACCCACCTGATTACTAATTTCTGAATACTAATAAAGGTTTAGGTAGATGATCTGTATAAGACTCAAAAATCAACTTTCTTTTCACTTAAAAATTTCTAAAAGGACATATTGTTTGCCATAACTTCATCAGGTGAAGTCCCAGATTTCAGACATGATAAATAAAATTATTTTGTAGAGTTGTATGCTTAAAGAAAAAAAAATTATCAAAGCTAGAAGTCATGATTTCAGAAGGGCTTGGAGGAGAGAGGAAAAAACCCACAGCTTTTTGTCTTCCCCTCTTATTCTAGCAGAATTTTAAATTCAGACAAAAGAAGTTCTGTATTTTTGTCCCTTCCTCCCCTCTCTTTTTTTTTGCTGTCTGCAACTCACATATAAAAAATAAAGATGTTCATTATGCACTGTATTTATCTATTTAATCTTTGAAGCGTGATGAGGTATGGGGAAGAAAGTCATATTTATCTCTCTAAATTTCAGAAGTTTATTTCTTTGATTCATTATCCATTATATAGAGGTTGAGTGAACACAGGAATGCTTTCAAAGAGAAAATAAGGACTTCTGCCAACTATTTGAGGGTAAAATCATGATTCTTATGTATAGTCCTTGAGTTTCATATTTCATTGGTGGGAGTGTTTTAAAGGAAGAGTACATATTTATTTTCTGAAAATATTAAGAAAGTTCTGCTAAAACCTTTCAAAAACTATTGGGATGGCTGAAAAATTTGGCTAATTTTTCTTTTTCTGTTGCCTATTCTTGGGGGCATGGGGGGAAACATTTTTCCTATGTCACATGCTAAAACCTCTGTCAAATTCCCTACTTCTGGTAATTAATATAATATAATATAATATAATATAATATAATATCACAATATAAACCTTCCAGAAAGGTATTTTACATTTTTTTTCCTTTGTATATGTAAATGAATGCACTTTGGTGAAAGGTTTTAATGCAAGTTAAGCATTCAGTCATATGATAAAGCTGGTAGTACTTGCAGTGTGTGTGCAGGGCATACTGACTAAGAGTTCTGCTTCTGTTACTCAACATTTGGGGATGTAGATTTATGGATGAGTTATCAAGAATGTTTAATCATCATTTTTTTTTAATTTCTGCTATTTCTAGCTGTAAACATTTAGCATCACATAAATCATAGTATAAACACTTCTGTATATAGATAATATTGTCAGATTCTTAACAGACCCTGTTATGCAGTTAGTAAACAATATGAGGCAGTGGAGGAAATGAGAAGTGACATTTATTCTTTCCCAAAGTTTCAGTTCTTGTATTTATTTATTTTTTTTGTCTCATCTAGAACTGATTCACAGTGAGCAGAACTCAAGTAACATAAGGAGCAGCAAACATGTTTCCTTTCCTGCAACATCACTCTGGAAGGGAGAAGTGTTATAACTACTGCTGAATCAGAGCAGCAGAAGCACGTTGTCTGCAAATCATGAGAAAGGAGATGTCTGGTTTGAGACTTCCTTGGGATTTCACTTCCACAATTATTTTCATTCGTTTCCTACTGCTGTTTTGTCCAGTCACCCTTCCCTAAGCTTTCCACAGTCATATCCAAGGCACACTGGAGACTGAGAAAGAGTCAATAATCAAATGGGCTCAGATGTTCTCATGCAACAGAACTATTCAGACTCCCTTTATTTTCACAAAAAAGCTCTGGAAACACGTGCTGTCCATTTTCCAACTGCTGAAAACATTTCCAGGAGAATGGTAAAACCATGGGAAACTCTTGTAGATGACGCTGACTCCCAGAGGCACAGTTCAGGTGCTCTGTGGCTGTGACGAGTTTGGGCTGACTTCCTACCCCAAGGAGAGCTGTGAAGTGAGGGTGAAGAGAGGTGGAAAGCAGTGCAGGCTGATGGAAAGTGTGCAGCCCTCAGTTCTGAATAAACCTGCCACACACCTGTGAGGCTCTACAGGTGTGCAGCTTGTGTGGGTTACAAACTGCCAGCTGCTTGTCACCTCTCTCCCAGCCCTGGCGGCTCTGGGATCCCCAGGAAGCAGAGTGAGGCAGTCCCCGCTTCAAACAGCCTCCAGCAGTCACCTCAGCCTCTGTTAAAGATGTACAGATCAAGTGCCAGCACAAGAAGTGATGCTGTTGTCATAACCTGAATCTTACACGTCCCATCGGAGATGAATTTTCTTTGTGAAATGTGCAACACCAGCTGATAAAGTGTGCACAAGATCATTACTGACTGAATTTTTCTATTTTATGTTTCAAATGCTGAAACAACTGCTTTGAGAGAAATATATCTTGCTTTATTCCTCTTATTCTGAGACATAGTAAAATATTTCCATATTTTTAATTATCTTTTCTTATGCTGGTATGCCTTCATTCATGCAAAAGCAGCCAGGATTTTACATTAGTCTTTTCACAGTCTGGCTTTCACTCTGAAATGTTCAGATCTCTGTGGAAAATGTACAAAAAAATTTTGCAGTGAGTTGTCAATGTATCTCTCCAACTTTTATTTTTCCAGAGGACTTTTTAACTGCTTTGCTATCTAATCACTCACTAATTTTGCCTCAGTGGCCCCTTTGCTGGGACTGTTTAGAATAAATGTAGGCAGCAAAATTTTGTACTTTATAGTATGGTTCTGGATCATTTAAAAAATGCTCTGAATGTTTCTCATGCCACAGTGGCTTAGACTGCTTTGTGTCATGTTCTGCCAGCAGTGGTTCAGTCTTCATCCTAGGCATCTTTGTCTCCCAGTCTGGCATTTCAGACCATTAATAAAGACATTTGAAAGCATAACTATGTATAAAATATTATTGACATAGATTCAAATAAACAGTACTATTAATATTAACACTATCAAATATATGAACATTGGAGCTGGAACATAACAATAACAGTAAAAGTCATAGTAATTATATTACAGTTAAAAAAATAGATCACATATACTGTACAAGCAATTAAACCATGATGTGTTGAACTAATGCTTATGAAAACAATATTGCTTGTGTTTCCTGGGGTTTCTGCAGCAATACCCTAATATTGCTTATTGCTTGATTCCAAATTTTATATCTTAGTAAACATACTGTTAAAGCTCCTGCAACCATGGAGCATATGTATTTTGACTCCTCCCTTCTGTATATGTCATCCTATTTTGAAGTGTTCCACTCAGTGTCACAGCAATCTTTTTGTCCAAGGCTATGGCAGACAGTAATTGCCCATAACCTGTAAAATAGGTCATCTCTTCCACCCAAGGTGGTGTGATATGCAATTCCAGAATATTCAGAATGCTAAGCATTGTATCTTTACTCTTTTAGTACTTTCTTCCTGTGATTACAAGTATCAAGACAAGCTTTGTCTTTCTTTAGAAAATATATGGCTTCAGGTCACTCCCTTGTAATTGTTACAATATTTAAAAACTTCAGTGAACTAATCTGGAATTCTGTGATCCCCTCAGCAGCTTATCTCAATGTTTTAAATACAGGTTGCCCATACCATGCTGTAGTCAAAGCCTCATTTTGGTGTTTGCTTTTTTTAGTGGTTTTTTTTTTTTTTTTTGTTTGTTTGTTTAACTCTATCTCCACATACTTAAAGGCACAGAAGTTCTGGGTTCTAGATATTTTCATGAGCAGGTCTTATTCAAAACCTCTCACAGAAACACAGAATGGGTAAGACTGAAGGGACCACCATTGGACTCATCTGGTCCAATATCCCTACTCAAGCAGGGTCATCCTAGAGCACAGAGCACAGGATTGCATCCAGACAGTTCTTAAATAGCTTCACAGCCAAGTTTGCTTAAAATATGTGCTTATACTGATATTTGGGATTTGAGGGAAGTAACAGCAAAAACTCCAGAATTTGGATAAACATTCTTAGGTGCCATAAAATAAAGCTTTTCTGAGCACATTCAAGATGAAAGGATCTCCTTTGAAAATTCTGCTCTCTGTCATGGGCTGTTATTTTGATTTCAATACAGTACCCTGAGTTTCCTGATGACCTTCCACTGGACTTGCACCAGGACAGTGATGCATTTCTTCCCCTGGGAAGCCCACAGTCAGGAGCACCAGTGCAGCTGTGAAACCCTAGCACTAAACAGAGGGGAGTTCTAAACCTCCTTTGGCTCGCTGGCCACAGTCTTGCTGCCACAGCTGCTGGGCATTCCCTGCAGAGGCAGACAGCTTGCCCATGTCCACTTAAAGCCTGTGTTGTGCACCAGGATTCCCCATTCCCTCTGCAAACGCCCAGCTGGTCCCCAGTCTGTATTGCTGCAGAGTGATCCTGTCCCATGTGTGAGATTTCTGGAGCAGCATGTTGCTATACAAAAATCCTAGGGAAACAGTTGGAAAGCTTCACCATTTATTTGATCAAACATTACAAGCAGCTAACATCACAGAAGAGAACAGAAACAGCCCAATACCTTCAAAGATAGTTGTTGGACAGAAGAATTAGCAAGGAGCAAGATGTCAGTTTTCTGAAGCCTAACATATTCATTCTGAACTGAAAACAAATTTTGAAGCCACTTGTAGTGCTAACTTGTGTTCCCTGTTGTGCTCTGTTTAATTTTTAATTGTTGAAATGTCTGGCTAATTTACATGAAAAAGGACTCTACACAACAATACCAGTTGTTTTTCCATTGGTTGGTGAGACAGCTCCAGAAATGTTTTAATTGTTGTTGATAGTGGACTTGCATGAAGCTTTATGTGGAATTGGAAATTAATTCACTATAAAAGAATAGATAAGAAAGAAATGTTACCTGCATAAGGGTTCTCCATTTTCCAAATCAATCCCTTTCTTCTTCCACTGTTTTAAAGAAACTTGTGCTGAATTATTAATTTTATCAAGAAAACCTTGATAGCATAATCGAACATACAGGGATATAACTCTAGCTGTAGCTACTCCAATAGACTTATAAGACTCAGTTATAAGTTATAATTGAATTCAAAATATGTGGGCTGGGATCTACAAGAGCTCAAGGGCCAAAGCATAAAACATTACAAAATGAAAATTAAATTTCCATAGAAAAAACCAAAATACTATTACCAAAAGAGTTAGTACAAACACAACAAAAGAGCATGGAGTAGAGTTCTCATTCAGAGGAGAAACCAGTATCATCACAAAGACCTACCTGTCTCTGTTTCAGGCTCCAGTTTCCACTGGAGTTTTATTGATTAAATATTCAAAAGTTACTCTTTTTGCCAATTAAATAATAATCATGTCTGTCATAAGTTGAAAGGTCATTTATCTAAAGAACTTCACTTCTGATTCACTTCTTTCATCTCATGTCTTTTATTTGAAACAGCTCTTCTTTCCCTGACAGCAAGAATTGAAAGTCAAAATTGACTGAAATGTCAACTTTTCAATCTATTAATGAGAATACAGAAAATATATCATAAAATGGAGGGTGTTTTATGACTTAAAGAAGCTTGGGGAAACGCGTTTCCACATCTGACAGGTGTTTAAAGTTTACAACAATTCTGTTCCTAAAGGAAACAAAATTATGTCTTTTTCTATCATTTGTAGAGATTTTCTACTTTTACAATTTTCGTGTACTTGATGGCAAAATCTTACAGTATTACCTTGTAGAAACAGAAGTTCCCTTTCCCTTCCTTCCCTTCTTTCTCTCCTTTCCGTTTCCGTTTCCGTTTCCGTTTCCGTTTCCATTTCCGTTTCCGTTTCCGTTTCCGTTGCCGTTTCCGTTGCCGTTTCCCTTTCTCTTTCCCTTTCCCTTTACTTTTCCCTTTCCTTTTTTCCTCCTTTGAATTTCAAAAGAGGTGAATTTTTCCAAGTCCTTCAGACAGATATTTGAGGATAGTCTTTATGAGCAGGCCATAAAACACCTTGTAGGACTGTGTCAGCCACACATGAGCTCTTCCACATCTTCTGGTGTTGGAAGAACTCATGTCTGGATGGCACACAGTCCTACGAGGACTGCCTGTGCCTGATTTAGTACCTAGTCCAGAGCTATACCAACACAGGGCACTTTTTGATAGCCCACAGGGCAAGCTCAGGACTGCTTGCAGTGATTCTTGCAAAGACACTTCCTAGCTTGCCGGTGGGACCTCAGCAGGAAGCTGCTGATGCTGTTGCCAGGAAGATATGGGTTCCTGGTCAGGAGCAGGAATCAGTGCTGAAAAGAGAACCTTATGCCCATAGAAATACTGGTTTTATAAATTATTTCATTATTTAATAATTATTTAAAGGGTCTTTACTAAATATTTCAAACTGTCTTAAAAATAAAAAAAGAAACACCTCCAGACAGAAATGTTCCTGCAAGAGACCGCTTGCCAGAAATTTACCATTGTTCTCAATTTCATTGAGGGAAGGAGAGGTGCTGTGTTTAAAAGCCTCAGGCCTTTCCTCATTATCTGACTGTTTCCTGAACAGAAATAATTTCTCTGTCATCTCTGGCAAATTAAACTTAAAAAAAAAATAATGTAAGCTACTCCCTAAGATTTATTTCCTCTGTATCAGTCATCAGCTGTTCTCTTGCATGTCAGACCAGCGCTCATGAGCAATCTTATCTCATACAGTATAGTTAAGACAGATTTTGAAGTAACTTAGGAAAAAGGGACAGGCAACGTATCATTCCCTTTGCAAATGTATGAGATGTGGAAGTGGAAATGCCAAAGCATTTTGACATTAACTCTTGATTCTAACTGGCTTTCATGACTCACTCAGTTGGTGAGTGAGCAATGAGGCTGTACCAGGAAAGAAAATTATGAACTGCTTATATAAATTAACATATGTTTCCTTTGTAAACTGTTTCCTGTTCTGATTGCAGGTAGGGCTGTGCTAACTTTGCCTTGCCATGAATACGCTTAGAAGCAAAGAAAGTGAAAACGTGGCTGAAGCATTATGAGTATCACAACACTTCTGCCTGGTAACACATACTTGGAGTTCTGCTGAGGAATGCCACATCTGTGTGCCACATGACACTATGTTATGCACCCTACTAAGGTTAAACTCTATGTTCTGTGAGCAAAGCAGCTTCCACTAACCCCACTCTTAGCCAACTGTCTTCTAAACTTGTTCTACTACCTCTTAGGTGACAGTGCAACAATGAGAGAGTCCAATGAAAAATGAGCTTCCTCATGCTTTGATTCAACAAATTCTGAGTTATGCTCAGAATCTGAGATAAATGTGATAAACCCAGACATGCCAAACATGGGTTTAATTTACTATTACTGGGGTGAGTTGACCTTGGCTGGCTGCCAGACCCCACCCGGTCACTCTCTCACTCCACCTCTTGAACAGCACACGGGACAAGCTAAGATGGAAAAGCTCATGGGATGAGAGAAAGACCAATCTCTGTCACTGGCAAAACTGACTAGACTTGGGACAAAAACTAA